TAACCAAATAATAAACTTGCATTTCCACAGCACCCCTTAGGCATGGATTTTTAAAGTGCTTTGCAAACATTATCCAAGCCTCAAAACACTCTGGCAGAGTAGCCAGGAGTTACCTTAGCTGTGTAAATCTCTAAATAAACCAGAGAGATTAGGTGACTTTTCTTAGAAGTCACAGCGAATCAAGAGCCCAGCAACGGAAACCGGAATTCCCAATGCTCTGCTCTAACCATGAGACTGCCTGCCTAACTACACAGCATTTGTGCATTTCTAGGAGTGACAAACCTTGCCTCTTTTTGTCAAAAGACTGGTTCAAAGAGAGTTGCAGAAGCAGTATTGAAGTATTGCTGCATATAATTTGAATGGGAAATCTCTCATCTTAAACATCTTGACCTCACCGATGGAACATTGCCCACAGCCAAGTAATATGTTGCACCTATACTGCTGCTTTCAATCAAGGATCTTAAAGCGCTTTCCCAGCTTTAAGCACAGAATCATAGAAAATGAGGGTTGGAAGGGACCTCAGGAGATCACATCTAGTCCAACCCCCTGCTCCAAGCAGGACCAGCCCCAACTAGATCATCCCAGCCAAGGCTTTGTCTAGCTAGACCTTAAAAACCACCAAGGATGGAGATTTCTGGGTAACCTGTTCCAGTGCTTTACTATCCTCTTAGTGAGAGTTTTTCCTAATATCCAATTTAAACTTCCCTTCCTGCAACTTCAGACCATTGCTCCTTCCTTGTTCTGTCCTCTGCCACCACTGAGAAAAGTCTCGCTCCATCTTCTTTGGAACCATCCTTCAGATAGCCGAAGACTGCTATTAAATCCCCTCTTAGTCTTCTCTTCTCTAGACTAGATAAGCCCAGTTTCCTCAGCCTCTCCTCACAAGTCATGTCCCCCAGCCCCCAAACCATTTTTGTTACCCTCTGCTAGACTCTCTCCAATTTATCCACATCCTTTCTGTAGTGGGGAGTCCAAAACTAGTCACAGTACTCCAGATGTGGCCTCACCAGTGCCTAATAGAGGGGAATAATCACTTCTCTTGATCTGCTGGCAACACACCTACCAATGCAGCCCAATATGTTGTTGGCCTTCTTGGCAACAAGGGCATACTGTTGGCTCATATTCAACTTATTGTCCACTGTAACCCCCAGGTCCTTGTCTGCAGAGCTGCTGCCCAGCCAGTCAACCCCCAGACTGTACCGGTGCATGGGATTGTTCTGTCCCAAGCGCAGGACTTTGGACCTTATTGAACCCCATGAGGTCCCTTTTGGTCCAATCCTCCAATTCGTCTAGGTCTCTCTGAATCCTAACCCTACCCTCCAGCATATCTACTACTCCCTGCAACTTGGTGTAATCTGAAAACTTGAGGGTGCACTCTATATCATCTTCCAGGTCATTGATGAAGACACTGAACAAAACTGGCCCTGGGCCCTCCACTCCACTTGATACTGCCTGCCAACTAGACATTAACCCACTGACTACTACCCTCTAAGCCCAATGATCCAGCCAGTTTTCTATCCACCTTACAGTCCATTTATCCAACCCATACTTCCTTAGCTTGCCTTCAAGAATGTTGTGGGAGACCGTATCAAAAGCCTTACTAAAGTCAAGGTATATCACATCCACTGGTCTCCCTGCATCCACAGAGCCAGTCATCTCATCACAGAAGGCAATCAAGTTGGTCAGGCATGACTTGCCCTTGGTGAATCCATGCTGGCTGTTCCTAATCACCTCTTCCTCCAAGTGCTTAGAAATGGATTCCTTGAGGATGTGATCCATGATTTTTCCAGGGACTGAGATGAGGCTGACAGGTCTGTAGTTCCCTGGATCCTCCTTTTTCCCTTTCTTAAATATGGGCACTAGGTTAGCCCTTTTCCAATCATCCAGGATCTCTCCCAATCACCATAAGCTTTCAAAGATGATGGCCAGAGGCTCTGCAATCATGTCAACCAACTGCCTCAGCACCCTCAGGTGCATCCTGTCCAACCCCATGGATCTGTGTATGTCCAGCTTTTCTAAATAGCCCCTAACCTGTTTTTTGTTTGTTTTGTTTTGTTTTTTTTTTTACCAGTTGGCTGCTCACCTCCTCCCCAGACTGTGCTGCCTGGTACATCAGCCTGGAAGCTGACCTTACCTGTGAAGACTGAGGTGAAAAAGGTACTGGGCACTTCAGCCTTTTCTGCGTCCTCTGTTACTAGGTTGTCTCCCCCATTCAGTAAGGGACCCACACTTTTCTTCATCCTCCTCTTGTTACTGACATACTTGTGGAAACCCTTCTGTTACCCTTTACGTCCCTTGCTAACTGCAACTCCAGTTGTGCTTTGGCCTTCCTGACTTCACTCCTGTATGACTAAGCAATACTCATACTCCTCCCTAGCTGTTTGTCCAACTTTCTGTCACAACCCAAAGTTGTGATTTTTGTTTTTGTGTGCGCTTTGGCACCACTGAATTATTTTCCCGCTAAAATTTGCAGCTTCTTTGCACGGTGGAGTTTTTGCTGTAAGGGGGAACCCCGGTGCAAGGGAGAATTTCCTGCCAAATTGTAGCTTTCTTTGCATGGTGCATTTCTTTTGCATCTAAGAAATGCTCGGTGCAAAGAGTTCCCGCCATTTGTATTCTAATTTGAGCCCCATTATTGGTTTGAGTTAAATTATTCCCCCGTGGCGGCTAGCAATTGGCTTGCTAGCCATATAAAAGGCTTGAGTGGTTTCCGCCCAAGTTGGAGGACTCCACGAACACCAGGAGGAGGAGACTTCACGCTGTGTGAAGATCTCTAAGCGCTGCAGAGCCTATTGAACCCAGCGTGTATTTCAAGCAGGCAACAGGGGTCTGATCAGCCTCTAGCCTCTCCCCATCGCCGATAGATTCCTAGACGTATCCCTTCCTGCACGCAAAAGAACCGGACCCACAGAGCCTGGCAAACTTCGTGTGAGTCTATTCGTTGCCAGCTGGAACAACTGATATAGTTGTTCAGACGACCGAACTATCCACAGAGCCTAGCAAACTTTGTGAGAGAGGGCAAACTTCGTGTGAGTCTATTCGTTGCCAGCTGGAACAACTGATATAGTTGTTCAGACGACCGAACTATCCACAGAGCCTAGCAAACTTTGTGAGAGAGCTTGTCATAGTCCTCAAACGAGGATTTAATCGGAGCTGTACCTGGAAACTGTCCAGCCTACACCGCAACCATCTTCGGTGTAAGTAACTAATCTTTAAATCAACCATTACGCGTCCGTGCCTAATTCCAGCGTGTCGCCTGTTCTCTCCGACCCAGCGTGCCCCGGGCTGCTGGCCACAGCCCACGCGCAGCACAAAATCGCGCTCCCTGCCGTCCGCATGTGGCGACGAGGGTGGGATCGGGAGAGGGTCCGCACACTTTCCACTTCTTATAAGCTTCCTTTTTGTGATTTAGTTTACTGAAGGGATCCCTGCTAAGCCCAGCTGGTCTTCTGCCATACTTGCTAGTCTTCCTGCACATCAGGATGGCTTGTTCCTGCACTCTCAGCAAGGTTTCTTTAACTTACAGCCAGCTCTCTTGGACTCCTCTTCCCCTTAGACTGGCTTCCCAGGGGATCCCGCCCATGAGTTCCTTAAGCGAGTCAGTCTGCTTTTCTCAAGTCCACGGTCCTTGCTTTGCTGCTCTCCTTCCTTTCCGCAAGAGCCTGAAATCAAGGATCCTAGCAGCACACCCATTCCACAGGCTTAAAGACAGATGCAGGCAGCTATACCTTGATATCAGGGATCTGTGACAGAGCCAGGCACAGAACCCAGATCTCTCAATTCTCATTCATGATCTTTGACCCAAGGCTGCCTTTCCTTGCTATTGAATCATTGCAGGACATCAAAGGTTCATTGCAAGTGCTGACAGGACTGAGTCTTAATTTTGAGAACTAGGCCCACGTTCTGTTAAACATTTTAAGGGGAAGTTCATCTTTCAATTCACTGGGACAGAGCCAAAGTGCAGGCAACTTATCTTTTTGTTTAAACATTCTCACTGGGGAATGGGTGCAGGAAGATACAAGTGGCCATTTATAGTAAAATCAGACAGACGCATCAAGAAAATCATGGATAAATACACCATCAGGTAGTGGAAGAACTTCAAGCCCTCCAAAGGTACGGAGGGCAAAAAACACCCGTGTCATCCACCCTTGCATGTGGGAAAAACATTTTACCTTGCAAAGACCCATCAAATGAGGGTACCGTGGGGGTCCCCTTTGCGGCTCATTTTTCTCCAAGAGCTGCTTGACAAACTTCTCAATAGCTTTTTCTGACATTCCACATTGGTATCCAGTCTGTCTCACCAGGTCGATGGTCTCCGATAGCTTATCATAAATGCTGGGTTCGCTAGCTGAAAGCTCCATGGCTTCCAGGAAAAAATCCCTGTGGAAAGAATCAACAGTCAGGACCTGCACCTTTTAAAAGCCTCATGTGGGTAGCCCAAGGTTACCACTTCCAGAAAATCACAAGAGTTTATACCTCAAAGTGAAGGTGAGAAAGGAGGTTTCTTTTCAGCAGAGCTCCAAGGCTTATTGATGCCAAAGAGCTAGTCTATTCAAACACAGAAGAACTACATCTGGAAAATTAGCTGCACCCCTTATCTTCTCAATTGCTTCTACATCTCCCAGTGACCAAACGAGAAAAGCAACTCTATCCCCATTGACATTAAAGAACACTTGGCAGACAATAAAGGTAAACAGCTAGGATTTTAAGCTGGTATAAATGGATACCAATTTACTGAAATCAATATATTATATCCAGTTACCTCAGCTGAAAATCTGGCCCTTAAAAGGTCATTGGGAGTTATCACCAACAATACACAAGCCAGACAGCAGGTGTACAGTCCATCTTTTCATGGCCTATAGCTTTTGAATCATTCACTTTAACAAGGTTCATATTTTGTTCAGTACGTTCCTTCTCCTTCTTGGTTATTTCTAAAAAGAAGTGTGGGTGGGAGGCTGGGGGGGGGGGGGTCTGCGACTGTTTTTATC